TCTTAAGAAAACATCCGCGCAATTTTCTTTTAATCGAGCTCCATTAAATCTAAGACGGTCTCGCACGACGCAGCGCGCGATTCAAACGAGATTCCGGAAGCGCCGCGACGGACGGCAATTACTCCGAATGCCCGCCGATCCGGGGGAATTGAGCGGTCTGACGACGACGACGACGACGACGACGACAGCCCGTGACGGAGCCACGGACGATCTTCTCCCCGCTGCTCGCGGTGCGCTCTAAATCGGATCAATATGCCAGAGATTACCGCAGAAGATCGTTATGCAAAGCAGCGAAGGAGGGTACGGAAGCGTCGCGAGGCAAGGCGAGGTGGGACGACGGGACGCGACCCGGCCCGAGCCGGCCCGACCCGGATTCGCGGGGGGTGCGGTTAATGTCGAGCTGCCTACAAGCCCGGGGGATGACTTTTTCGGTGATTTAACCAAGGAGGGTGAACGTTTGTTATTCAATTTGCGGCACCCTCGGTACCAGCCACTGCTCACCCTCCTCACCCACAGATCATCGCGCCTTTACGACCGTCACCATGCTCCTCCAACTCCTCGCTTCGGGAATACGATCGCCATTTATTGCGACGTCCCTTCGCAGTCGCGCGTTTCCTAATAGTTTCGTCTCCTTTCCGCGGCGGGGGGCCGTGCGGGGAACAGCGTCTCGAGGTGAGTCCGGGGCCCGCTCTCTCTCTCTGTTCCCGCCGCTAAAAATATACGATAGAAGCATCGCGATGCACGGTAACTCTGTTTTCTTTCTGTCGCAGAAAACGGTAAACGATGCCGCGGAAACGGCAAGTGCTGCTTTGCTGCTCGAGCACGACGACGGCACTTCAAGGGAAAAATAGATTGCAGAGAAATAAAGAACAGTGACCACGGCGAAATCTTGTTTCGATTTGTATCAGCCTTCTTCCCTCAATCCTAATTGTCGCCTTTAAATTGCGTCGGCCGTTTTCGCGATCGGACCGTGCTCCTCGATGAGCAGACGTTCTCTCGAGTCCAGAAGAATCATCGCGGACCTGTGCTTTATTATCTGTGCGTTACTTCGCTTGGGAATTTGTACGCTCCGCCTCGTTGTGCCAGGTCGAGGCTGCTCTTTATAGACGCTCGCAGCACTCTTTTTACAGGACGATTACGTTCGTTAACAAGAAAATAGGTAAGATCTACAGTTAATGTTACTAGGTTTAAAAGAGGTTTAAACCGTTCACCCGACTCGCCGATTCTCCGCATCGTCGTTCAACGCGACTCGCGCTTTGCTTTTGTTGTTGCAAAAAATGGGCGTTTACCCGTGGATATGTAAATAAATGGAATAAAATGGATCGAATTAAATAAATGAAATTGAATAAATTAAATTAAATAAATTGAATTAAGTAAATTACATTAATGAAACGTAATGGAACGAAAGGTAATGAAATGCAATGAAACGAAATCAAATGGAATGAAACGAAATGAAACGTAAGGAAACGAAACGAAACGAAACGAAATGAAACGAAATGAAATGAAACAAAACGGAATGAAATAAAACTGAAACGAAACGGGATGAAATGAAATGAAATTAAATGAAACGAAATGAAACGAAATTAAATAAATTACATTGAATTAAATGCAATCAAATAAATTACATTAAATAAATTAAACAGATGAAAGGAAATGAAATGTAATTAAATTAAATTAATTAAAGTATCCCGCGCTAATGAAGCTAGTCTAGCTGCGGGAGGGGCGGCGGAAAAAAAGACGAGCGCGAATGAAACGCGGGTGGAGCACTTTGAAACATCACACCGCGGCCGACGTCGCCGACAGCCGTGTCCCTACAAAAGACCGAAACGCCGGCAATAAGTATCTCCGGCGGTCTTTCCGGACCCGTTAACAAACCTCATGGAACTAACGACTCGGCTTAGTTCGAGGGCACGGTTTCGCGTATACAAAAGTGTCCCGCTCCCTCTCTCGGCTCTCCCGGCCGTGCCGCCGGGAAATCTTTCGAGCCGCTCCGTAATCGGTAATTTAAGATCGTCCGCTCGCCGAGCAGCGTTTCCACAGTTTTTCCAGCGTTTCCCGAACGGTTTTGATCGGTAGCTAGACGAGAACTAGATGATCGGACGCGCGGCAGCCGTATATTATCGAGGTGCTCGCGCGGCTATCTGCGAATCTGCCTCGAAACGGAAATCCCGAGCGGTAATCTCGGTGGCGCGTAACGAGCGAACAGATTAGGCTGCTCGTAGGATCTCGACGATGTACCTAATAAAGGAGGCTAACGAGACCGGGGGCATGTGGTTAACGACAGCCTATCCCGGAGCACGGAGAGCGAGCCGAGCAAGTCCTACGAGACACATGCGTGTACCACCACCGGTGTCCGATCCTCTGCTCGAGTATGTGTACGCGTGTGTGTGTGTGTGTGTGTACGAACACGTGCAAGTCCCCGAAAGGCACGCGAGTCTTGTTACCAAAGTGCCGCAGCCTCGAGAACGACCTCGGCCCGATGGAAAGGGCTCGGTGTCTTTTCAAGTTCCCGACAAGCAGATTAGGATCCGGAGTCAAGGCTCTCGGGCCCCGAGTGGATCGCTCTCGAAAAGTCTCGGGCCGGATCTTGCGTAAATCATCGGCAAATTAGTGCCGGGCCACGAACGCGTCGGATTTCTCGGCGCGAACGTACCTCCCCGGGCTCTCGCAAAACAATCGCGCGACATTCGAGCGACGATCCGGCGTAATTTTAATGGCCAAACAACACCGGCCCCTGCGAACTTTAAGCACGCCGCGTTGCCCGAACTTGTAATGCAAGACCGATAGCGTTACTCACCCCCCCCCCCTCCCCACGGCCGATTCGCGGGTAATTGCGCGTCGTTAAAGGTCATTAAAGTATCTGGTTGGTCCACACGACACTCGCGTAGGGAGCCGGTGACGCCGCAATATTCCTCGTGCCCGGTGAATCAACGTCGTCCGACGATAACCTCGTCACAGAAGTTTGCCCTAATTGACACGGGTCGCCGGAGCTAATCACGCGGACGGTGCCGATTCACGATCGAATTATTCCGGATCGTCTCGCCTACTCATCTGCGATCGCATTCCGAGCCGCGCGCCGCGCGCCGTCCAATCATTTTCTCCCTCGGAACCGATTCCAGCCGAGCGAAAGGGTGCCTCGCGCGTCGCCAGCACGACTATGTTTAGAACGACCGAAACGAAATAACGCTGCTGCCACTTCGTGACACGTTCAAATTGCTACATCATATTTCGGTAACTTCGACTAGCCACCGTTCATCGACGCTTTATCGTCTGACAACTCCCTTGGCAGTTGAACGCGTAACCGGAGTTTCGGGCTTTGATCGACGCGCTCGCGATGGAAAGAAGCGCGTAGCGCACGTTTTTTTAAGAATTTTTCTTCGCGTAGAGATTACGAAAAGACCTTGGGCTGCTTTAATCCATCAATTCTTTGGGGCACGGTGGGATTAAAAATGTCTCATCTTTTTGATGCACGGTAAATGCATACATTTTTAGACCCATCTCTAAAT